CCCACATTGGACCAGTCTCACACACACACACATGAATTACAGTCTACATGTTTTCTACATACAACATAAAAGGCTGCCATGTGTCCCAAAATCTTTTGACAGAACCCTTCAGGGTATATGATTTTTTTTCTAGATGAATATGATACATCACTTCTGTTATCCGTTGCATGTATGCTGGGGGTGTGGGTCCTTCCAATTGCACAAAACTAGTCTTCTGGCCAGAAGAGAGCCAAAAGCAATCACATCCACGTTGTACTTGGTGAAGGGCGTATGCAGGGACCACCCCGAACATTGAGATGGACAGCGATGGGTGTACAGTTTTCCCACATATCCCAGAGAAGGTGTTAACAAATAGATTGCCAAAAGGTCTGCAGTTTGGGACAAGTCCAGAATTTATGCATGAGAGTAGCCGGAGTTTGTTTACAACAATTTCATGCGGGGTCCAGGTCGGCTTTGATCTTGGACAACTTGTTGTACTGGAATTGTTTAATGACACATTTGATAAAATAAAACAGACCTTTGAGTCTTTATTAGAGCTATATAGAATATTAAGTTGATTTTTATTTTCTGTTGAAGGACTCACCGCATCACCATCACGAACTTCTGCCTGGGAAAGCATCTGGTGAGTGAGGATGACCTGCTGAAAGACCAGCGAGGGAGCCCTGCCTACATAAGCCCTGATGTATTAAGTGGTGAGTGAAGAACATGTCGCATAGATGCTCTTTTTCAAAAACATCGTAGGTCTCAAATAAGTTGCTTTTTACATGAAAAGGGTTTAGAGTCTCTGCTGAACAATTAGTTGCTAAAAGAAGTGCACTGCTGCTTTTGGCACCTTTAAAAACCTGTCCCATCAGTCACACGTGCGTTTGCTTTTATTGACCCAAATGTAAGCAAGTGTGAAAATGTCATCACAAGTGTTAGAGGTGAGGCAAAGTAGAACTGTGAATGGGCTGTAACTTCACGTGAAGTCCGCTGGTGCATCATAATTGTCATCATTTCTGGTAAGAGAAGTCACCCTTTCTGTTTTGAGCCTAGAGAGGATCTTGGAATTGTTCTTATTGCGTTGTGTAACGTTAGCCGTCAGTCTTATGTTTGAATTTCCATTTATTAAGCAACCAGAAGAAGGCTGTGTTGCAATCTTGAACTGGCAAATGCTTTTTACTTTGTAATCATGGTGATGTCGCGTTTTCTCATGCATGGTGTCTGCAGAGGAAGCTGCCTTATCCTTTATAAAACCGTTTTTGTCTGAGCAAAGTGTAAATCAGTTTTTATTGTTCAGCTTTACAATGCTCATTGTCCAACTAAATGGGTCATGTACGAGTTGCTACACACCAGCAACACCAGTATTCGACCATGCTTCTTGAGCCTCTTCCATGAGTCTTCGAGGCTCAATGTGATTTATCTGTTTAAAAAAAGGTTGAATGAATGAATGAATGCTCTTCAACTGAAAACCTTGGTTGCATCAATCGAATCATTGGTTGCCTAACCGACATCCCGTAGATTGTGCCTCATTCTGATTTCAGACGCACATCTTTCCTGTTCAACCAGTTGAAAACTGTAGATAAAACCCTCACGTACATATCAGCATAACGTGACAGGGACACGGTTAAACAGAGCATCAGTGACTCATGCGGTGATGACTCACTACAGGGAAACTACTCCCATCCCCCGCCTGTGTGTGTGTGTGTGTGTGTGTGTGTGTGTGTGTGTGTGTGTGTGTGTGTGTGTGTGTATGTGTGTGTGTGTCATACAAGCTTTAACATAATTGCTCACTGCTGTTGCTGTCGCCTTGCTGACTGCAACACAGCCTATGGTAATGCACGGCTATGATGTTACACCCTGATCAGCCCTGGTCTAATTATCTCAGGGGGGTTTTATTTTGTTTATTTTGAAGAAAAATCTTTCCCCATTAAAAATAAAAAAATCTGTCCTGTTCTGAGCAGTGGCAGAGATTTAGGATTTTTTTCCAAATTGGAGACCACATAGGACCCACTTTGTAAAAGAGCCAAAGTTTCATCCAGCCAGTGTATCATGAACCGCCAGTGGATTGTGAAATGATTGGTGGGTTCATCCCTGGATCTGCGTATGGTTCTGATAAACTATATAGATGTTGAGTCCATACTTGTGTTTCTGTTTGCAGGTTTGTTAATAATTAAACTTGATTGTTTTGACAGGGATTGAACTGATTACATGCTTGATCACTCCTGAGTCATAAAAACTCTTTTTTTATTTCACTAGTACTAGTACCACATTTTATGTCTAATCTGCACACGAGTTCTATTAACCTGCTTTTCTTTTTCTAAAAACCAGCCTCTGATCCCCTTGTCATCCTGTCTTCAGGTCGTCCATACCGTGGGAAGCCCAGCGACATGTGGGCCCTTGGTGTGGTTCTGTTCACCATGCTGTATGGCCAGTTCCCTTTTTATGACAGCATACCTCAAGAACTCTTCCGTAAGATCAAGGCTGCAGAGTACTCCATCCCAGAGTAAGTCTATGTCCCAGTGGAGGTATATTTATAAAGCTCTAACAGCACAGAGTCATTCATGTTCAATCAGACAGCAAGTGTCAGAGGACTAACTTAATCTGTGTGTGTTTATACTGTATTCTAATCCTGGGATCAAAGCAGATTTTGTGACATCACCAAGGTGTACTGACCTTTGTATTGTTAATGCATCTGCTAATGATTGACTATTTATGTTGTAAAATTGACCTTGTGATTTTCACATGTTGTATGTTAGTAAACCAGTTTCTTTTTGTTCGTCCTTGCAGAGATGGTCGTGTGTCAGAGAACACGGTGTGCCTCATTCGAAAGCTGCTGGTGCTGGACCCACAGCAGAGGCTGACTGCAGGAGAAGTGCTGGAGTCCCTTAGTGCCATAATCGCCTCGTGGTAAATGCACCCTCTGCTGGATGTTTGAAAAACTGCATCATGTGTTGTCAAATCCTTAAAATGCTGCTGAGTTGTCCTCCAAACTAGGCAGTTTAGATTAACATCGTGTATGAAGGATTATGTTCTGCTGCTAGCCGTGAACTAATTGCACATCACTGTTACAAAACTAACCCTGCTGTGTGTTTACTTAATCACAGGCAATCTGTTTCATCGATGAGTGGCCCTTTGCAAGTGGTTCCAGATATTGATGATCAGCTCAACCACCCAGAACATCTGCAAGAGGTAAGATGTTTTCTGCTTACAAGCTACAATGTGCTTGATACTAAAATGCACATCTGCTCATCTAAAACTACATTTTCACTATGAGGCAGTTTTACCCCATTATAAATGTTTGTATTACCGTATTTTTTGCTGTATAAGTCACACTTTTTTTGCATAAATTTGCAAGTCCTGCAACTTATTCACCAAAGCGATTTAATATACCTTTTTTTTTTTTCCATATTTATAAACCAATTTGGGCTGAGATCTGACTATTTCATTCATTCTGACATGAAAAATACTAAACATTACCGTTTTCAGCCGCTAGAGGGCCCTCAAGCAATGTGGCAAGACTCATTAATAGGTAAAAGTGGCTATTAATGAGACACTTGGCTTGCCATACAGGCCACCTTCATCTTGTTCTGGAACTCCTGGAGCAAATGTCAAATCAGCTGTATATTGCCACGCCGCCCAATTGAAATACAGCTGATTTAACCATCAAAGTGCATTTATTAAGGAAAAGTTAAACTGAGACACACCTTTTGATATAATGTCGAGCAAATAAATAATTGTTTTTAGGTGGTTATCGTGTTAAGTTTTGAAGAAATGGGCAGCGAGTCCTCCCTCTGCGCGCTCCCGCATCTGCAAATCGGCTTTTGAAATGCAGCTGATTTGACTGTTAAAGTGCATTTATTAAGAAAAAGTTCCACTGAGACACACCTTTGCTATAATTTCGAGCAAACAAATAATTGTTTTTAAGTGTTAATCTTGTTAAATTCTTGTTAAAGCCCTCCCGTGCACGCTCCTACGGCCACCATTTGGCAGTCAATCGATTTTTGGCACAACACCGGCCCACGTTTCCGGGTTGTCTGTGACGCATAACAAACGCGACGCGTCAGCAGTGACGCATAATAAATGCGACGTATGCGGCGAAGCGACTTAGTTATGTTTTTCTTCCACTTTATTAGACATTTTTGTACTGATGCGACTTATACGGCTGAAAGTACGGTATCTATGTTTTATCAAACTAATTGCAATACAGTGAGCTGAATAAATTTTTCCTCACCCAGGCCAAGGTGATTGAAGAGTCTTCACAGTACGAGTTTGAGAACTACATGCGCCAGCAGCTGCTGCTAGCCGAAGAGAAAAACATTGTCCACGAATCCAAGAGCTTTCTCACAAACCGCCAGTTTGGCAGCATCCCACCTGTTAGGCGTTTGGGCTACGACGCCCAACCTGTCAGTCCACTAGATGCTGCTATCCTCGCTCAACGTTTTCTTCGGAAATAGCCTTCAGCCACTCACTCCAGCCTCCCCCTGAAGACGCCTGCAGAGACGTGAGAGGACTCGAGACAGAAAAAGCCCCAAAACTGAGCTTGCACACGTGAGACCTCTGCCTGAGCTTGCAGACAGAGATGCATACTTGGGTTTCCAGCAAGCTAGGTGAAGCAGATAGAAGGTGGGCAGGAAAAACACATTTCTAACTCGGGAGCTTCACTCCCCCAGTCTGGATCCAGTCTGAAACATGTGAAGCCCTGGATGGAACTCTGACCCAAAGGTTTCTTGCCCTCAGGTCACCCACAGTCACTGTGCAACAAGCCCATTAGCACGGTCACACATGGCTCTGACACGCCTGTAGTGTTAAAGAAACTAAACCCCACCCTCCTCCTCCTTTGAGATTTCCCTGTTGTAACACTTCTACCCCCCTCCTCTTAATTCTGGGTTCCCTGAGCAATACAGGTCCAGAATCATGTAGCAACTCCCCTCTCTTCACAGTGGTTCGGCGTTGCCTCAAGTCAAGTCACTTGATCACAGATGTCACTTGTGTATACCTCCATTTCACCTTCCTTCTCTCATGTTACTCCTCCTCTCTTCTGTGTTCCTGTAATGACAACGATCTTTGTCCTGTCCACCACTCTGATTTCAAATAGATCTACCTCTTTGTCTCTCTTCTTTGTTGGTAACCCATGCTCACTGTCCTGAGACGAGGGATTGTAACAAAGGAGTCTGGATGCCATCAGTGACATAAAGCATTAATGTTTTCTGTTGGAGTATATATGTTTTGAAACCTTTTCAGTGGTTTCGAAAAATCTGAATAAGCTTTGTTTCATTTACCTGAATAAGTAGCATTTTATCTCTATAATTCCATTGAAGAAAAAAGTAATAATATCAAAACTTATGTTTATACACACTTTGGTATTTGCATAATGCTTTGTCCTCCTGCTTCTGCTAATCCCTGTGGAAATCTGTTCTTAGCATCTAGGCAGCTAGCGTAGGGTACCTGGAGTCACCATGCCAAGAAAGGCCAAGGCATACTGATGGGAACTCTTCCTCCGTGCCAGTGTGCTAATACGACGACACATTACGGCACTGCTTTGTTTCCATTGCAAAAAATCCTGTCTTAAGTTCATTCTTAGCCAAGGAAACTGGTACTTTTAGAATCATTTTAGAACAAAATGGCTTCCAGGTAGCTTCCCTGGTCTCAAAATCAATCATGGGACAAGTGTATTTCAGTGTGAAGTGAACTGTCATTCTACGCTTTACTATACCTGCAGTATCTAGGAGACAGAGTGTATGTGTGTGTGTGTGTGTGTGTGTGTGTGTTTGCGTGTGTTTTGGGTCAGGCAAAACAAGTGTCTCCTAAGCTGTTGAGTCGTTAACCTCTGACACTGTGTGACCCTTTAAGCTATTTTTCCAACTTTTATTGTGTTTTGTTTTCGGGCCTGCCATTGCGGCAGACACTGTGAAAACCAGACCAGGCTCTGCTTCAAACCGGGCTTGACTGAATGTTTTTTTTTGAGAACTAACACAAATGCTTTAAGATTGGAAAAGATCACATATCTATAGCCACTCCGAAGCCCTCTGTCAAGCTCTTGTAGTACATGCTTATCTCACTATGTAGGCTCTTTTGAGACATCTAGTGGCTGATGATGAGTACTGTAATATTTCATAGGTAAATGGGGGAAAAAAAAGACAGATTTTTTTTAAGTGTAGTTGCTTGGTTTGCTTTTTGATGAAATCTGTTTTTACACAATGATTCTTTAAACCATGGCAAAGCTACTACTCTGTGACTGTTAGACATTTGTACACTGCTTCTTGCCTTTGCATATTGAAACCTGCTTTAGGCTTTCTGGACTTCCTTCTATTTATATTCAAACTTACTGCATGAACTTAGCCTTTGAATCTTTTTCTAATGTCTTGTTTTTTTTTTTTTTTCTAGGAGTTTTATGTTGAATTATTTATTCACTTGTGTCGACTTTTCCCCTTTTCAAACCACTGGTGCTTGTATCACAGACATTGATTGTAAACAGCCAAAAATAGTTTTTTTTTTTCCTTTTTGTTTAAAGATTTTCTTCACATTTGACCGCTGGTAATTGTTGTAACTTCTGCCCATGGAACAGGCTCCACGTCTCCTTGCTCTCTCAGCTTTAAGAAGTATTGTTCACTCAAACATCTTTATCCTGTTCGGACACATTCATGAAAGAGTAGCATTTTTTTTTTTTTTTCTTAGGATTACTAAATTGTTTTCTTGCCATTTTTGTGGTAAACTTAAGCTACACTAATAACAAGACTGACTTTTGCATAGTTCTATTTTTTAAAATAAATAAAATATTTTCATGTCTTGATTTATCCAAGGGGGTTTTGGACTTAATTTTTTTTTTTTCTATTTCCCCCAAATTTTCCACTCAAAGTTGCGCTCTTTCGGTCAGTATGTAAATAAAGCACCATCATGACTGTGGCAGTCAAATTGTATGTACAGTAGTTCCACCCAGTGACTTACCAACTCTGTTTCAACACATGCCGATTGACGTGTACTTCAGGCCACGTTGGCATCAACCATCACACCTGGAGGCGAAACATGTGAAGAGAGCCGTTGGCTTTCTCCCATCTCAATGTGAATTCCATGGGTGTTCAGCAGTATTGTAGTCTAGGTTGGTTGTTTCCTGAGCTCCGTAGCCGTTACCGAGTGCTGATGTTCAGTGAGCGTCTGTGGAACGTGTCTTAGCACCATCTCCCACGAGACACAAGTATAGATCAGTAACTTCCCCCGATCAGAAAGGATGCACCATGTTCGTTTGTTTTACTGGTAAACTGCGTTGTGGACTGAAAAGCATGGAAAGAGTTTAACTGTAGAAAACGAGCTACTTTTTGCACGATTTTGAACCTGTAAGGTATGTCAGAGCAACATAAATTGCAAACAATTCCCCCAAATAGGCAAATCTACCCCGCTCCAACTGAATAAATACTACAAATTAGTAAAGTCGTCAGCATATATGATGCTGATCGTTCCAACAGTAAACTTGGTTTGGGATGTGAAATGTGTTTAAACCCCACGGAACAATGTGTTGTAAGCTGCTTGGTTGAATATGGGCATCTGTATACAGAAAACTGAATAATTGTACAGATAAACACATTTGTATATAGAAAAACATATTTTTCTACTTCATCAGATCTCTACTTGCATGTCAGCAATAAACTTTGATATGGAAATGTTCAACTTTGTCTTGTCTTGATTGTACGTTGACGTTTTGTCCACTAGGTGGCGCAGTTTGTTTAAAATCGATTGAACACAGGCAGAAGTAAAGGTATTTATGTATGTATGTATGTTTTATTTATTCATTTCATTTCATCCAAACAACAAATATAATACAATTTAAAGAAAAGAAAAAAGATATACAATCACCGAAATAAAATGAAAGGCAGTAGAAGAAGAATGAATTCTTATATCTGCCCCTTGTCCCCAAAATATATTCCAAACAAAATTACTATACAAAAGCAAGATGAATTAATAAAAAGATAAAAAATAATTTAAAAAAACAGCTAAAATATAAGATCAACTGTAAACAATTTTACAGGTGTTTAAAGGTATTTAGCTCTGTGTCTTGGATTATTTTCTTTATTGGCGTTTAGATATCTGTTGTTTTTGGACAATTCTGTTGAAAAGGACAAACCATAATATGATGTGCAGCGTTTGGTGTGTCTCTTCACAGGTGAGCAGGATGAATGGCACTCAGTCCAGCTGTTGAGATGTATTCAAACAGAAATCCTGCTGATTCTTAACAGTTTCCTGCATGTCAGAAAGAAAACTCCAGCATGAGCAGAACTTAACTGACCGTGAGAATTCACTGATCACCATACAAGCCTTGCTTAAGCTCAAACGATTACATGCACATCATGTCCTCTTTTGAGTCCTAAGTGACATCTCCCACCCTTCTGTGCTTCAGTTGTCACCCATCAGACAGACTTGAGTCCAGGGGGAAGTACGAAGACCTTCAGGGTCAGAGTCCTACAGATGTTTTGTCCACATAAATTACAACCAGCTGGCCTAGAGGCCATTCTTGCTTTCTTCTCTTGTGTCTCAAACGTTACGTTGCAGACTACGTCAGACATTTGCAATGTTTGAGCTTTATCGCCTCAGAGAGCATTACACGTTCGGTTTCACTTGAGAAGATCAGGATTAATTTAGCTGGATGCAGATGACTACAGTGGCCCTGAAGTTTAAATCACAACTACAAATTAAACATTGAACAAATGCAATTAAAGTAGTCTCTCGATTTATTGCGGCAGTTACGTTCCAAACACTCCCACAATAGGTGAAAAACCGCCAAGTATGAACACTATATTTATTTTAGTATTTATATATATATATTAAGGCTTTATAAACCCTTCCCACACTCTTGCAATGTTCTAAACTCTTAAACCTACATAATTATAACAGCATGTGTATATGTACTGTACAGTACTGCAAAATTTTACTCACCAGCTCTGCAGAACAGCAGCTCTGTTCCGGTTCTGCAGATCTACCCTGCAGCAACGAAGCCCACTGCCTCGTCCAGGTTGATGTGCGTGTGGATAATTGAGCTTCAGGAAGCTTCAAGATTGTTTGAGACTTCCCTGCCAGTTCTGTGAGCTTAATAGATAGTGTAGATTTGCGTTACAAAACTTTCCCTCTATTTTGGTGGAAAGCAGCGTCCGGAAGCACTGTTGGCTTCTGGGTAGTGTAGTTCTTTTTGACTGGCGTTGCAGCGTAGGCTTATTGAAAGAAAACTACAAAATGGCAGCACCTATCTGAAGTTTTTTTTTTCGTTAACTTTTTATCCCTTAACGTCCCAGTCACGTGAGTAATATTAAAGTTGACAATCGTTGGAAAAACTGCAAACGAGCGAGTCCGTGAAAGTAGAACTGCAAAGTAGCGAGGGACTACTGTACATTTGAAAAATAACACATTTGAAAAAAACACAATTACATTAAGCGAAACCAGAAAAGGTGGGAAACATGAAACATCGCTGACAGGATGACGGGGTGTTTGAACCTCCCACCTTTCCCACCTCTTTGCTTAAAGTAATTGTGTTTTTTAATTTGTAGTTGTGGTTTAAACTTCAGGGCCACCATAGTTAACCCAAAAATCCACACTTCCAGATGTGTGTATGTGGCTGGATTAGCTTTTGGTGAGTAATTCACTAGTAGCTGTGTATTTAAGTCTTAAAAATGTATTGGAAAAAGCAACATAAGTGTAGACGCATCAGCTCTTCAGTGGTGGTTTATGACTGTGGAGGGTGAACTTGTTTCCAGCTGTGTCCAGCATCAGGCTTCATGGTGTCTCCTGGCTGGACACACAGGACAAAATTTATGCTGCAAGGACTCCAGCACTAGAACAGCCACACAGAAGATGCCACGTGCAATAAAAATGCGAAACTAG